GTGGATTGAGGGCGGGCTGTGAACCAAAGGGTCGCTGGTTCGATTCCCAGTCAGGGCACATGCCTGGGTTACAGGCCAAGTCCCCCAGTAGGGGCCACATGAGAGGCAACCACACATTGATGTTTCTCTCCCTTCCTCTCTAAAAATAAATAAATTTAAAAAAATTTTTTAAAGATTTTATTTATTTACCTTTAGAGGGGAAGGGAAGGAGAGAGGGAGAGAAACATCAATGTATGGTTGCCTTTCGTGCGTCCCCTGCCGGGAACTGGCCTGCAGGGAACCGGCCTGCAACCCGGTATGTGCCCTGACTGGGAATCGAACCGTGATTGTCTGGTTCGCAGGCCCATGCTCAATCCACTGAGCTACACCAGCCAGGGCAAATAAAAATTTTTTGAAAATGAAACCAATCGCCCTGGTTGGGTAGCTTGGTTGGAGTGTTGTCCCACGCACTCCCAAAAGGTTGTGGGTTCAATCCCCAGCAGGGGAATAAACCTAGGTTGAGGTTTGATCTCCAGTTGGGGCATGTTTCTCCCTCTCTCTTCCTCTCTTTCTAAAATCAATAAATATATCCTTGAGTGATATAAAAGAAAGCTCTTAAAAATGAAATGACTCAAAATGCTTTGAATGCTCAGTTTTGCTTGTTAGAAAGAACCTCCGGCCACTGTGAGGAGAAGGACTGGGCTTAGGAGCAGGGAAGGCAAACAGTTTGGCTTAGGGTGGGGGTGGCCAGAGCAGAAAGGGTGGCAAGGTGTGGAGAGAGCTGCAGGCACAGGACAGGAACTGGTGACAAGGTGAGGAGCATCAGAGAGAAGGGTTTCAAATGATCAGGAACTGTGGGCAGACAATGATCAGCTGTCCTGAGGGTCAGCAGTTTCCCGCCTGCTCAGGAAATGCCTCCTCTGAGATGAGGCCTCGTCCCTGAGTCCAGCTGCAGTTGGGTCACCTCCGCTCAACTCCAACGGGCTTCATAAACGTGCCACAGCAGAACAGACTGTGGACTGAGTCCCTGGCTGCACCCCCACCGTGGCCGTGGCCGGCCTCCGCCCAGATGCCCAGGTCCCCGGCCGTCGTCTGTCCCCTGCCTTCCCTCGGCCCGGCTGAGTCTGCCCGCCTCCAGACTCCACGGCCACCACACTGGTCCTCCCCTGAACACACGCAAGGCCTCCCAGTGGTCACCCATACATCATGTGGACATTTCATCAGATCATGTTATTCTCCTGCTTAACACACGTCATCAGTTTCTCATTGTCCCTACGATGAAAGCCGGTGCCTACCAAGACCTGAGCAATTCCAGCTCAGGGCCTTCACCCTTCCTGGAAGGCCACCTTGTCACTCCTGTCTCAGCTCAAATGTCACTTCTTCAGGGAGGCTGTTCTCTCTCTATCCACATGCTCCTAGTGTCATTTTTCATCACAACAATCACTTGTTTTCTTTGTTTTAATGTGCTTGCTCTCACTTGTTTATACTCATTTGAGGCCGACCTCCAGACTGGAACACAAGCCCCACGGGAGTAGAGACCTTGTCCATCTTGTCCGTGAAACTGCCCCACGCCCAGAAACAGAACCTGAGACATAGGGGGCGCTCCACAGACAAAAGCTGGAGACAGTGGGGTCATGCGCTCACCTCCTGCTCTCCACCTCCCTGGGCAGCATCCCAGCCACGCCGACAGAACGTCCCTTCCTCGTGGACCCTGAGGGAACGCAGCGCAGCCTCCCGTCCTGACCCATGAGGGGCACTGCGGGGACGCTGGCTCCAGCTGAGGGCCGCTGTGGCCCCACCAGCATGCCTTCCTTCAGCCCGGCCCCAGCCAGGAGTCCTTCTTTCCCATCAGGAGTTGTGTTTGCTAATCCCACGGATGGCATTTTGGAGGGCAAAGGAGCTCCTATCCTTTACTTCAGATAAAATATCCTTTACTTCAGATAAAAGAGTGATGTCTTTCCTGTGACACTGCTTTAATCCGTGTCTGTCAACCCTGTTCAGGTCAGCGGTCATCTCTCAACTCAGCACACTGGCCTTGCCCCGTGACCCAGCCACAAATAACCAGCCCTCGTGAATTTATTTCCGTTCATTATAAAGAAACCATTAACCAGGATGGAAAATTTCTCAGAACAGATGTCTGAATCGCTACAGTCCAAAACAGCTGCACAGTCACACTCAGCAGCAGCACCTGCCCCCTCACCCCCGGCCACACCTGTGCCCAGCACATCAGCGGGACAGGCAGCACTCGAGTTCCGCAGTGAACGAGGCCTGAACACGGCATGTGTGCCCCACTGCCAATCCCAGACAAGCCTCTCTTAGTTCCCCAGTCATTCTACCCCTTGATGCTCCTTTTTTGCACTCCACATTCAGGAGAGAAGCAAAGACATTTTCTAAGGTGTGTGTCGGACAGGCTAGCACACCTTCAGCTTTCAGCCCATGAGCACAAACACACTCGTGTTCCTGATAATGAACCCAAGGCCTTTAAAGGTTTCATCGGTCACAGAACATCACTCCCAGCTAGTAACGTTTCTAACAAGGCTGCAATAGAAAACATCCTGCAAATTTCCAAACCCCTCAGTGTCTCCCAAACACAAAAAGCCTTCGCACCAGCACCCCCTTCTCTACCCGAGATTCTACAGAAGGGGCGAGCAGGACCCTGAGGGGCCAGGACAAGGAAGCTCCCTGGATGGAGCCAGCTGGTCACTCTGAGGCCTGCGGGAATGTTTACGATTGATCTGTCTTCCAGGTGCTAATCCCTCTCCAGCTGTCTCTAACTGCTGTTAAATCCACATACTGAATTTTATTTATCTATTTTTAATCTATAAACTGATTTTTATTTTGTACATAAAAGATGTTCTAAAAAGAATCTGCAATTAAAAGGGCGGTGATATTTTACTTATTTCATGATTACAGTGGTCCCCTTTTGGGGGCAAAGTAAAACATCTTTTTTTCTTTTTATGCCGTATTTTAAACCGAGATCCTACACAAGCTCTCAACCACAGATTTGAACCCAAACCCTGCCAGGTCTGGTCCCCGACTTCTCCGACCCTCCTGCCCTCACTCTGCGCTGCGCTGCGTCAGCACGGAAGACATCGCGCTTGCTGTCAGCCCTAGACAGAACCGCTGAGACTGACTGCATTCACGGTGATGACGGCCTCTTGAGTCAAAACAGTTTCTTCTGGGTCCTGAGGATGTGGTTTATATATCAGTCTCATCACTGAAACCATCTTTGTAAATGAAACACTAGTGGATTTACGTTCCATTGTTTTCGCCGCAGGATCAACTACAGAATGTTCGTGCCACGCCAGCAAGAGATTTCACACTGGAAGGCAGTCCACACCCTGTGTCTAGACGTTCACGGCTGTGCAACCTTCCAGAAGGATCTATATGTATGTCCAGTATATCAACACTAACCACGCCTGGGTTCTTACAGGGTTTGGGTATTTCTGCATCGCAGCAGTCGGTCAGAGATGCCCCCCAAGGTCCAGACCCGCAGTGCTGGTGGCCTGTGGGTGTCTGGGCAGTGCAAAGAGTCAGAAAGGCCACACCTGTTACTACTTTTCAAAGGTTTTACTTATTTTTAGAGAGAGAGGGAAGAAAGGAAGAAAGAGAGGGAGAGAAACATCAATGTGTGGTTGCCTCTCATGTGTCCCCCACTGGGACCTGGCCCACAACCCAGCCATGTGCCCTGACTGGGAATTGAACTGGTGACCCTTTGGTTCGCAGGCCGGCACTCAATCTACTGAGCTACACCAGCCAGGGTGAAAATACAAATACATCTTTCACAAAGGCTACAAGTTTGCTAACGATATATTCTAACATTTATCAAAGTTTTAAGCATGTCACTTTAAACCTTCAATGAGAAATCACAGTATTCAGTATTAATTAAAAACCAAAAAAGGGTAGTCGTGGTGATTCATGGGGTTTTAGTTCAAAATGAAAATGCAGAAAACATTTACTTTGGTGGATCTGTGTCGATACCACATTTCTCCTTGGGAAGAAACTTCAACTGTTCTTCCTTCTTCTTTTTACCCGTCTTCTGAACCGCCCTGTTGGCACCACAGCACAAACCCACAAGGTGCCTGTTACCCGTACGGCATCCTGCCCGGTGGTCACACGCACTCGTGGTATCAAAGGTGTCTTCACAGACCACGCGAGCTGTCCCTCTGGTTTCAGGTGTGTCCCCCACTCTGATTTGATGAATAAGCCCGTACTTCCCAAATATTATTATACATGTCTTCAGCTGTGATTTTATGAGGCACATTTCTTATATAAAAAATCCAATTCACTTCAGGTGGACGTCAAGCACTCGCCCTCTCGGCCGCGCATCGCCATCTCAGCGGCGAGTACCGAGTACCGGCATTCCGCCCTGCGCCTCGGGCGCTCGCTCAGCTGAGCCCCACACAGCGTCAGATCCAGGAAACCTCTACCTACTAAACTTTAAATTTCAGTTATTGTACTTTTGTGTTAGAATTTAAATTTTTTTATGAATTTCAACTCGCTGCTTTATTATGTTAATCTGTTATTTGAAGTCCACGTCTGAAAGCTCTAATACCTTGACCTCATTGGGGCCTGTTGCCTCCCTCCCACACCCGGTCCTGTTTCTCAGTGCGTCTGGAAACTCGACTGCCTGCCGCGGTGCATGGCCAGAACGGTGGAGAGGCAGGAGGGTGTCTCCCTCCAGGGTGCACAGCGGTGGGGCAGGCCACCACAGGCTAGTCTGGGGCTCAGCTGAACCCAAGCTCATCTGCAGTCCTTGTAAAGTCCACTCTACCTGTGGCTTGCCCACGCTCCCAGAATGCCACCCCAGCCCTGGGAAGTTGTGTAGAGCTCCTCTAACTTCTATGTCTCTTAGTGGCCACTTGTGCCTGCCCTGAGGGGAAAAGCCAGTGCAGGAAGTAGGTCTTACCTCCTGAGCTCCCCTCTGAGTGGCGGCTGCTGGAGTGACTGTGTTGGCCTTCAAGCTGATGCCTTCTGGATCACAGATAGCTCCTTGAGTCCTCAGGGAGCGGCTTGAGTCCTCACGGCAAGCTATCCCACGAGAAGCGGTCTGTTTTCATTACCTGGAATGATTTGGTAAATGGAGAGTTGGAAAGGATGTGGGTTAATAACTAGGCAAGCTGGTCCAACTAGCATAGGCCACGTGGACCTCTCGGAGCCAAAATGTCCTTTGCAGAGGTATGTAGCCAATGAGAAAGCTGGGAGGACACAGCCCATTCCCTTCTACCCAGCCTACAGTCTCCAGGACTGAAAACCTTGCTACTCATCTGAATCCTATGGTATTTGTCCCCCTCAGCCCAGTCTTAAAAGTGAAGATGGCTCTCGGTGCCCAGGCATGGCACTGCCTCATGTGAAAAGCTCAGCCTACAACTCCTTGGAGAACAGTGTGTCCCCAGCTCAGGTCGGTGGCCTTGCTCCTGGACAAGAAGCCTTGGGGCCTGTGGACCACCAGCACCAGGGCTGCATCCTTTCTGGGGCCTCTGCCCCCTTGGCCAAATAAGCAATATTGGTTTCTAACAAGACACCTCTTCAGCTTCGCTGGCTGTCTCCACTGAAGTGTGAGCATCTTACATGAGGGGAGCTGACTTAGTCCTCTATGATGAGTGAGTCAAGGGACAGGCTTCTGTCATTAGGTGTCTCCTCAGCCTCCATGTCCCAAATCCTGGGGCAACAGAGGCATGTAGCCAAGGGAGATAAGAAAGCGCCAAAATTACAGCTCCTGATGGGAGGGCAGGGAGGCTCCCCAGGGACTGAGGAGCTGTCAGGCAACACTGAGGCAGAGCCTGGCCAGAGATAGAGCTCAGAACCACTCTGCCCAGTCAAGGAGGCCCCGCACAAACGGCTGAGGATTGCCGAAAAGCAGACCCCAGAGTGGAGCTGCTGTGGGCTTATCTCCATGGAGAGAAGGGGACCACCCATTCCCAAGCACAGTAAGGACACTCGTGTGGGCACACGGCCCCAGGGTCCGATACCTGGGTGCTGGTGCTGCCCCACAACACGTCGGCCATCACAACTTTCACCCAGAGCCCGAGCCTGAGTCCCCAAAGTGGGCATCCTTTCCAATTCTGCCCATTCCTGTCTGGATGGGCCAGGTGGGAAAGGCTGGTCCCACTGTCTTCCCCGCATACCCTGGTCATCATGTCCACTAGTTCCCACCGTCTGCTCACCTTCTGTGCTCTGAGTATCGCTGCTCCTCAGAGTGCAGGACAGAGGTGATGTAGCCTGACCAGTGGGGAGGACACTACAGTAGCCACACTGTCCTGGTGCTTCTCCCTGCACCACCGTGGGAAGCCATGGGCTGCAACATTCCTACAGCTGAATTCTTCACTGGGGGGTGGGAACATGCACAGAGAGAGCCTGTGGGAGGCTCAGCCTGTGTAAAGAGAGAGGTTCCCATTGAACCATCCGCTCAGTGCCATAGTCTTCCCCCAGCTGTCCTCCAGAACAGTCACCTTGTCAAGCCTGCCATCAGTGAAGGATGCTGTACTAGTGCTGCCCGGGCTGAGGGGGCTTTCCAGAGGTCCTGCCTATACTGGGCCCGATTGTGACCAGACACAGGGCCTGGCCTCTGCTCTCCACCCAGAGGTCTGGGTACTACCCCAGGTTGGGGTCTGATACTCACAGAGTCCCAGCTGTGGAAACAAGACGGTGCCCACATGAGACCAGTTGCAGTTGCAGACTTTGCAGACCTCAGCCTCCTCGGAAAATGCAGGTTCCGGAGCAGCAGTGGTTCTCACCCCACTTTACACTCCACTCACCTCACGAGGCTGACTTTCCAGACCCTCAGCATCCCACATGGAGGCACAGCTGCCAATCAGTGGTCGGTGCCCCCCCCCCCAAGCAGGGCAGCGCGGGCTACCACCAGCTCCCTCCATCCAGGTGCAGCTGTCGACAGAGCCTCAGGCAGAAGCAGAGATGGCCACAGAAGGCCAGGCATGAATCCAGCCCAGCCCCCTCCAACTTGGTCCCGCGGCCAAGGCCAGAATGGCTAAAAGCAGGTGGCCTTGTTGGGCTGACTCCGCGTTGTCCAAAGACTGCTGGCATCACGGTGAGCCCGAAGGTGGGGGGTGGCTCTGCCGTTCTGCCCGTGCCAGTTCCTGCGTGATCAGCTCCTTTCCTCACGTGGGCTTCTGTGAGGAGGCACGGATCCTCACAGGTGCCCCGGCCCTGGTGGAAGCTGGTAGAACACAAGCTTGTCGAGGGGGTAAACACCAGGCTGCCATCATAGTCTGTGCCATCTTGATGTGCCCATTCATGCTGTGACTAGTTAACAAAATAAAAAAGGGAGTGTTAATCGTGTCAGTCATCTTAGCCCAAAGTCACCTCTTATTCTGGATAATCATCAAACTTCCAACAGGCTGTTCCATTTTTTAGCCATTGGCTTATGAAATAATTCTAGAGTAAAAGGGGCCCCTGAACAATGGGAAAACTGGACAAGAAGTGATATGATGGTCTTCAGTCCCTGGGTCACACACAGTGCAGGACAGTGACTCCCCAAGAGAAGAGAAACGGAGAGGGGAGCCCTATGACTGTACCAGCTACAGCCGAGATGGTTGCCAGGCTACAGTGTAAGAAAATGGAATTCGACAGAACCAGCAGCTCCCCGGAGGAGGAGACAGAGTTAGGAGGTCAGGGAGGCCCAGGCAGCTGGCACGTGCGGCTCAGGCTGTGGGGGACGGGGCCGCACAGACAGCAGTGCTGCATGATGTGCGGGGGTCCCTCGAGTCTGCAGCCTGGGACGGGTCTGCGCTTGTGTGAGAGAAACCATGCAAGGAAGCTGGGGCGAGAATCCCTGGAAAGAAGCAGAGAGAATAGTCCTCAGAGCCCACGCAGGGATAGGAATACTACGTGTCCCCACAGCCATGTGGAAGGACCTTCTGATTCACATGATGTTGGGCAGAATTCTCAGAAGGGCATCGCCCTTCATAATGGGGCCACATTAGCCATGGACCCATGGCGGCTCTGAACCCACACTCTCAAAGCTCAGAAGAAGCAAGCCTGTGAGAGGCCCCGCCCGTGCTGGGCCTGACCGTGGGCAGACACAGGGTCCTGGCTCTGCGCTCCACCCGGAGGTTTGGGCACTGTCCCAGGGAAGGGCCTGAGACTCGCGGAAGCCAGTGAGGATCACCTGCTGCCGAGGAACTTAACTCGATGTGCTGCTAGACCAAGAATAATACTGTTTGAAGGAACAGTTGCTGGGACAAAGCCCAGTAACCAAAAACATAGATTCACATTGTCCAGTATCCCATAAGAAAATGGCCAGGTCTATCAGTTAGGGTCCAGCCAGGCCACAGAAACCACATGGTATTTTAAACAATGTAAGTTTAATATAAATAATGATTAACTATTTATAGGGAATTAACTAAAAGGGAACAAAAAACTCTACAGAATATCCCAGGGTGAAGAGAAGTACCCAGGGGAAGGACTCCGAGCTGGGAGATGGGTGGTCACAGCCCACTGCTTGTGAAGTCAGTGGGCTCTCCAGACCAAGCCGGGGAGCTGACAACCACCTGTGAGGGGTGCCAACAAAGTTGGCTGGGAAGCTGCTGGCAGAGAGTGCCAGAATGCTGCTGGGCAGAGGTGCTGTTGATCTCACTAGAAAGCTGCCAGGAAGCCAGCTGGGGTTCCTGTGGAACTTGCCGGGCAGTGCCTGCCCTCTTCCAAATGTATAAAGAACCTCATCGCTGGCATCTGTGAGTGTTGCTGGATTTGCAAGCTAGGGAGCTGCCAGAGAAGGTGCCACAGAAACTCAATGGGGGTGAGTACCCCTACAGGTCCCACATGTCAACCCGTGTCACAAAACAGAAATAGGCAATGCACACAGAACCTGGAAAAGAGGACCTTTCTCTTCCGTCACCCTCCACTGACAAAAATTAGCACCAGGATAGCTGGCAAGGGGGAGAGGTTCCAGTGTCACGAGCAGGCAATGAAGGGGAGAACTGACAACTACCGTATCAGACATGCACACAAGAGAAAATACAACCTATGACCATAAGAAAAATCAATTAAAGTGACAGAGGTAAAGGAACCAGCAGACGAGGAAAATGAAACAGATGATTAAAACATGCTTTATATATTTAGGAAGGTAGAGGGAAACCTGAGCTTGATGAGGAGATAAACAAAAGATATAGAAAGACCCAAATGGAATTTCTAGAGATGGTAGAAACAATATCTGAAATGAAAAAATATATGGTATTGAATAATATAAGACGAACACTGAAAAAGATCAGAGTTCAAAGGGAAATGAAAGTATTCGAATAAAGCATAGAGAGAAAAAATACACATCAGACATTATCAAGGAAGCCAGTGTGCATGAAACTAGAGTCCCAGGAAAAAAAGAGCAAGAAAGAGTCAGAAAGAACATCTGAAAAAATAACAAAAAATCTCCTAAATATGATGGGAACTATACACTCATGGACCTAAGAGGATTAATAAAACTCAAGCAGAATAAACCTCAAGAAAACAACACCAAGGCATATCATAACTAAGTTGTTGAAAACCAGCGTTACAAAAAAAAACAAACCTTGCCCTGGCCAGGTGGCTCGGTTGGTCGGAGCGCCGTCCTGTGCACCAGAGGGTTGCGGGTCCAAACCCGGGTCAGGGGACACACCCAGGCTGTGGGCTCCACCCCAGTCAGGGGATACAGGAGGGGCTCAACTGATGTTTCTCTCTCACTTCAAAGTTTTCTCTCTCTTCCTCTCTGAAAATCAATAAAAGCACATCCCCAGGTAAGAATTAAAAAAAAAATCTTAATAACTCATTATGTACAGATAAATTAAGAATGACAAGAAACTTCCACTTTAAACCAGAGGACAATGGAATGTCATCCTTTTTATATTTTGTATTAGGGCTGTGCCATACTTTAATTAAAATGACTACTGATAGTATTTAAGTTGCTTTTGCCCTTTTACAGTCACACACAGTGTCCCCGTGAGCCTTGGTGGTAAAGGGCCCTGCGCACCTGGGTGAGCTCACCCCCAGGAGCAAGTCTCACAGAGGAGTCACCCCGCTTTGTGATTCTGCCAAATGTGCCTAGACTCCCTCAGAGCTTGTCACAGACTATCAGTGGAATGATACTGAAAGTACTGAAAGAAAAGGAAAAGGGTATAAACTAGAATTCCTTTTATTCTGTTTTTGGATATTTACCTGGAGAAAATGAAAACTCTAATTTGAAAATATATATGCACCCCTATGTTCACTGCAGCATTATTGACAATAGCCAAGACAGGGAAGTAACCTAAGTGTCCATCGAGAGATGAAATGGTTAAGGATGAGGTGAGGAGATACACACACACACACACACACATACATTATGTATATATAATGTAGTATATATATATATATATATATATATATATATATATATATATATATATATATATATCATGGAATATTATTCACCAATTAAAAAATAAAATCTTGCCATGAGCAGCAATGTGGACAGACTGAGAAAGTATTATGCCATGTTAAATACATCAGACAAAGAAAGACAAATACCATATGATTTCACTTACCTGTAGAATCTAAAAAATAGAAGCAGACCCACAGATACAGAGAACAAATTGAGGTTGCCAGAGCAGGGAGAGGTGAACATGAATAAGAGCTACAAACTTCCAGTTGTAAAATTAATAAGCCAAGGGGAAGGAATATACAGCACAGGGAATATGTCAACAATATTGAAATAACTTTACGCAGTGAGAGATGGTTAGCAACTTATCATGGCAATCACATCATAAGGTTTATAAATGTTGAATCACTATGCTGCAAACCTGAAGGTAATACTGTATGCCTGCCAACTATATTTTAATAGAAAGAAAGAAATAAAGAAAGAGAGAGAGAGAAAGAGGAAGGAAGGAAGAAAAAGACAGACAAGACTTTCATTTCCTACTTTGGAATGTAAAATCTTGGAAGCTGTCACTACCATACTTACAACAAGAAAAAGGCTGAACTAACTGGAAAACAACAAGTCTTTTCAGCTCCATCGGAGAATTGAGGTCAAGGATGGAACGCTACCCAAACAACTAGAGAAAAAGATAGGCAGACACACAAAGCCACAGCTTATCGGAGCAGACGCCCAGGGCAGAAACAGGCAGGAAAAAGCAAAGCATAACTAATGAACTGCTGGGGGCTCAGTGTGGACAAGTTTGAGAGTTAATGAAATTTCAGGAGGGCCCATTCTTAAGGTGACCCCCATCCTTTTTTGAGTTTTACCTCAAGGAGCCCTACCAGGTCCTCACAGCGGAGGTCTCGGTGGGGGTTGAGGGGGGAGGAAACTTGTACTTCTGGCACAGGGAAAGGAAAAGCAGCCATTCTGAGGTATGCCCAGAGTACTCTGTTCTTGTTAAGGCCTGTCCTCAGGGTAAACTGTTTAATCAGAGCTTAACTTACTGGGCTTCTACCAGAACCTAACTGACTTGGGGAAAGGGAAATGCCCAATTCTAGACTCCTCTGCCTTTCTATTTCATACAAGGAGAAAAACACCCACACAGAAAAGCACTTGTGAAGGTCACAGGCTGGAGGCACAGGTTCACTAAAAAACTAAGATCTAATCAAAGAACTAATGAACACTTCGCCACATCAAAAAGGCTGGTGTACAACAGATGGTGAAATTGCACTTCTCAGAACTTATTTAAGAAATCTCTAGGAAAACCCAAAGACAACGGAGGAGACAAAAACCAGAACACCAGAGGAAATTTTAGCTCTGACGGCTATAGCTATAGCCAACAGCAAACACAGCCTAACTCCTAGCCAGATAAAATGTCACACCAAAGGCCTATTTTTCTCAGTTGCTTTTATCCAGTGCACTGTGTCTAGCATTAAGAAATTCCAAAGCAAGACTTCCGCCAAGATGGAGGCATATAGGTGGAGACGCCTTGCTTTCTCACACAACCAAGTTTAGAGTCAACTAAATATTAGCAACAGAAAACACAGCCAGAACACAGAAAATTGAACTTTTCGGAAGTCTGATAACAACAAATTCTTCAGTCTGACCAGTAAGAGGGGGGAAACCAGCAGCTGGCAGAGCAGTGTCACACAGGAAAACTCGGTCAGACAGACTCAGGCGTGGGGAACCCAGGTGCAGGGTTGCAACGGGTGGACCCCGTGAGCGACCCAGTGAGCGACCGTGGGGAACCAGCGAGGGGGCAGGGCCGAGATTTGACTGTGGTCGTGCATTCGTGCGCAGATAGACCAGCGAGGGAGTGGGCGGTGAGAAGGGCCCCAGCAGGCCCCAGCTGCGAGCAGCAGCAGTGGGTGCTGCCATTTCCTGCTCTGACCCCGCCTCCATATACAGCGTCATAACCCAGCGACCTGAGTAGCCCTACTCTGGTGAACCACCTAAGGCTCCGCTCCTCACCCTGCGGTGCGAAACTGCAGAGGGGGTCGCCATTTCCCCGCTCTGACCACGCCCCGACATACAGCGTCACAACCCAGCGACCTGGGAGTCCAAGGCTCCGTTCCTCACACTTAACGGACGCAAACAGACCAAAAATGGCTCAAGAAGATCTCAAAGCCCCAGAGCCTATTAATCTAAGTGATGAAGAAATAGCAAAACTCTCAGACGAACAGTTTAAAACACTGGTGATCAGGATCCTCACAGATCTGGTTGATTATAGCCACAAATTAGAGAAACATATGAAGGCGAAACTAATTGAAATGAATGGAATTGCACAGGAAACCAACAGCGATGAAAAGGAAACTGGGACTCAAATCAATGGAGTGGACCAGAAGGAAGCAAATAATGGCCAAACAGAAAAGAGTCAAGAAGCAAGAATTTAAAAAAATGAGGAGAGTCTTAGAAACCTCCAGGACATCTTTAAACGCTCCAACATCCAAATTATAGGGGTACCAAAAGGGGGAAAGGAACAGCCACCAGTGGAAAACTTATTTGAACAAATAATAAAGGAGAATTTCCCCAAGCTGGCAAAGGAAATAGACTTCCAGGAAATCCAGGAAGTTCAGAGAGTCCCAAAGAAGTTCGGCCCAAGAAGAAACACACCAAGGCACATCATCATTACATTAGCCAAGATTAAAATGAAGGAGAGAATCCTAGAAGCAGCAAGAGATAAGGAGACAGTCACATACAAAGGAGTTCCCATCAGACTGTCAGCAGATTTCTCAAAAGAGACCTTACAGGCAAGAAGGGGCTGGAAAGAGGTATTCCAAGTCATGAAATCCAAAGACCTACAACCAAGATTGCTCTATCCAGCAAAACTTTCATTTAGAATGGAAGGACAGATAAGGTGCTTCTCAGATAAGATCAAATTCAAGGAGTTCATCATCACCAAGCCCTTATTATATGAAATGTTAAAGGGACTTATCTAAGAAAAAGAAGTTAAAAAAACATGAACAGTGAAAGGACAGCAAACTCACAGTTATTAAGAACCACACCTAAAACAAAAGCAAACTAAGTGAACAGCTAGATCAGGAGTGGAAACATAGAAATGAAGATCTCAAGGAGGGTTAGCAACAGGGGAGTGGGAGGAGGAGAAGGGGGGAGAAGGTACAGAAAATAAGTAGCATAGATGGTAGATAGAAAATAGATGGGGGACAAGAATAGTATGAGAAATATAGAATCTCAAGAACTTGAGACACATGGTCATAAACTAAAGGGGGAGTAATGGTGGGGATGGGGGAGTAGGGTGGAGGGGAATGAAGAGGGGAATAGGACAACTGTAATGGCATAATCAATAAAAAAATAAAATTTAATTTAAAAAAATTCCAAAGCATACTCAAAGAAAAAACACAGACTTTGAAGAGATATAGCAAGCAACAGATCCAGCCAGACTCAGACATAGCAAATATGTTATAATTATCAAGGCAGGAATTTAAAGCAAGTATGATTAGTGTGCTAAGGGCTCTAATGCAAGAAGTAGGCAACATGCAAGATCTGGTGGGTAAATATAAGCAAAGAGATAAAACTTTAAGAATCAAAAGCAAATGCTAGAAACCAAAAAAAATGTAACAGAAAGAACTTTTTTGATGGGTTCATCAACAGACTAGACACAGCCAAGGAAACAATCAATGAGCTTGAAGAAATGTCTGAAGAGATTCTTGAAACAGAGTATCTACGAACTGTGGGACAATTACAAACGGCTTAATACATGCATAGTGGGAATACCAGAAGAAGAGAGACAGGAACAGAAGTACTTGAGTCAATAATGGCTGAGACGTTTCTAAAATTAATGGTAGATGCCAAACCACAGGTACAGGAAGCTCACAGTACACTAAGCAGGATAAATATAAAAAATCTACATCAAGGTATATCATATTCAAACTTCAGAAAAATCCAAGACAGACCTGTAGGGGCACAAGAATAAGAATTACATTAGACTGCTCATCAGAAACCAGTCAAGCAAGAACAGACTGGAGGAAATATTTACAGCATTGAAAGAAAAAACAACAACAATCTAGAATTGTAAAGAGAAGTAAAAACTTTCTTAGGCCAACAAAAATTTAAGAGAATTTGTCACCGGTAGATTTGCCTTGCAAAAAATATTGAAAGTTCTTCAGAAAGAAGGAAAGTGTTTTGGGTCAGAAAACACAGATCTATATAAAGAAGAGTGTTAGAGAAGGAATAAATGAAGGCAAAATATTTTTTCTTATTCTTAATTGACCTAATAAGTTTGTTCAAAACAATAATGGCAATAGGGACCAGGTGAAAAAGATGAAAAAATTAACAAACAAAAATAATAATGGCAA